GAAAAAAAAAACAATTGACGGCTGTTTTTCACACTTACGACCGTTGCAAAATCCCCCGTGATCCTATCATCAAAATTCGGACGCTTGGCAACGGACTCTTTTTATGACGGTTGGTTGCAGTGTCCCTGGGTCATTCGACCCACTTTGAGACCTTCTGACCAGCAAAGTCAACGGGGAAGCCGGATCCACTTAACAACCGGCCTACAGAATGTCTGTAGAGATTCTCAATCATCCAGGTCCCGGTTGCCCCCAAAGGTGCTTTTTTCCCCCCCAAGAGGCAACTGGGTCTTCTGGTTTTCCTTTGAAGACGTTTCCCTTCTCATCCAAGAAGCTTCTTCAGCTCTGACTGGATGGTGGGTGAAGGAATATAAATCATTTGCCGTCATCTGGTCAGAGCTTGTAGCTTTAAATTCTGTAACAAATCAATCCTTCCATTCCCCACCATCCAGTCAGAGGAGAAGAAGCTTCTTGGATGAGATTCGAAATGTCTTCAAAGAAAAAAAAAAAACAGGAAGTCCAGATGCCTCTTGAAAACAACTCCTTTGGGAGACCTAGAGAAGCACACTGTGCATAAGCTCTGTCAAGAGCTCCATCCCAAAAGCCTCTTAAATCAGGGGACTCCAACCTTCGAAACTTTAAGACTGGGAGACTTCAACTGCCAGAATTCTGGGTTGCCAATGTTGGAGACCCCTGATCTAATGCATAGGATGGAAATAAGTGGTGAAATTCACATTTCTTTACTACCGGTTCTGTGGGCACGGTGTGACATGGCTTGGTGGGCGTGGCAAAATCCCCATTCCCTCCCAACTCCAGGGGAGGGATACTGCAAAATCTCCATTCCCTCCCCACTCCAGGGGAAGGATACTGCAAAATCTCCATTCCCTCCTCATTCCATGGGAAGGATAATGCAAAATCTCCCTTCTCATTCCAGGGAAANTCTTCTTCTTCACCTCCTCCTTCTTCCTTTTTCTCCTCCTCCTTCCTCCTCTCCTCCTCCTCCTCTTCTCCTTCTCCTTCCTCCTCTTCCTCCTTCCATTAAAGCTTATCTAAAACCCTGCTCTGAGGTGCATTAAGGTATGTAATTTTAGCTTTTTTTGAGAACAGCACCCGGTCGAATGCCAGAGATTGCACTAACCTAGAATCTGCGTGAATTGTAGAAAAATCAGGAGGGTTGATTTGGAGCCCCCATTTAACATTTGCCATTTTTGATACTTTCAATAGATTATCTATTGGAGTCTTTTTCGAACCTGTGTCATCCAGAAGTGAAAAACTGAAGATGGTAAATGTTAGAGGTGGAGGAAGAGAAAGGGAATGGGTGGAAACATTAGAGGAAAATGTCCTTCTCTCTTAATTTTTTTTTCCCTGGACTGGCGTATTTTTATTCGGACTACAAGCCTAAGGGACAATTGTCACGTTCTACCATCATTGCAGTAAATGCGTATCACACAAATAGGATTTTAACCACTGTCACTCACTAGATGCTCAGGAACATTCCTGAAGTAGAACATCCAAAGTTGGAGACCTAATTTTTAGGGAAATACATCCCCTCCCAAGACAGATTAAATTTCAGTTTAAACTCAGATATATATTTTTTTTTTTAAATGGTTTTTCCCCGCCAGGTGATTTTTCCCAGCATTGAGATGCTAATAGCATTCATTCAAACTTGAAATTTCTACCTACCATTAATTGATGCATCAAAAGATCCATTAGAAAAGTAATCTTGTTGCTGAAGAGAACATAGGAGCAGTTTTCCAGACAGTTATTGCAAGCAAGATAATAAGCGGTGATTGTACTACAGAGTGATCTAGGAGAGAAAATGAAATTTTAATCACAATAAAGGGGCAAAAAAATAAGGCAAGACAATATATCTGTAATATAAAATGATGAGATAGTCGACCACTTGATCAGTGGGTGCAGCAAAATTTCACAAACTGACTACCTACAACGCCATGACCACTTTGCTAAGATCATTCACTGGAAATTGTTCCAAAAGTTTGGATTTGAGTACAGCAAAAACCACTG